CCAAGTTCAAGCTGGAGGAAGACTACGAGCTCAACGAGCCTCTGGCCAAACTGGGCATGGCAGATGTGTTCTGTGCGGCGAAGGCGGATTTGTCTGGTATGAACGGTCAAGGAGGACTCTTCCTGTCTACAGTGGCCCACAAGGCCTTTGTAGAGGTGAACGAGGAGGGGACGGAGGCGGCTGCAGCCACAGCGGGCATGATATCATTCTGTATGTTCAGGGAGGAACACTTCACTGCGGACCACCCCTTCATCTTCTTCATCAGGCACAATAAGACCAAATCCATCCTCTTCCTCGGCAGGTTCTCGTCTCCTCAGTAGACAGAAGCAGAGGATGTTGGGCTATTCAAATAAAAAGATTTTTAAAAAAGCTAAATCCTTGAAATTAAGGCTTTATTTACTGTGATGTTTTGCTAATTAAACGGCTATATTTGTATCTTCTTTTACAAACAATGAATGAATGAGTGTGAGGTTTCTTTGGTTGAATTAATTGGTTATAATACTGGATAATACTAAAGCGAGGGACTTTGGGCTTTTAAAGTGACTCCGCTGTTAAAAGAATTGTTTCTTCATTAGATAGTAGTTCCAATGAAATGTTTTCACAGGCAGGCTGTGGATTATCCAGAGGAACCGGGACAGTTTCTTATAAACAAAGTTCCATTCACTGCTGCAGGATTTTTTATATTTTAAGCTTTGTATTATTTTTAACTTTTCACAAATTTTTGCATGGATTGTAAATAATATTTGGTTTTGGTAAATTCTTCAAATTATTATAATGAAAAACAAATTAAAATGTTAACAATGCATTAAATGTGCTGCCTTTTGTGCTTTTCTGTTACAGAGATACACTATTAAGATACATAAAAACGTATAAAGCCATTGACAACAGCTCTGAACATGCATAGCCTGTTGTTCTGGATACATTAATATGATATTTACCAAAAAGAAATGAAAGTTTTGTACAGTAAAAGTCTGTTAGTATGAGCAGATACAAAACAAAACTGCATTAAAAAGATCCTTGCTGTTAACTACCCACTTGGAAGCTGTATAGTATCAGAATCAGAATCAGAAATATGTTAGAATCCTCCAGATATACAAACAACATATATTAAGAACATATATATAAATATATATATATATATATATATATATATAAAACATAAAATGTACAGTTTAATAGTAATAGTAATTTGACTATTAATTAATAGTATATGTAAAAGTAAAGTTCATAAATTAAACTTTAAAATTAGATGCATATGTTATGTCTTTCCACTTTTATCATAATTAAAAAAGCTGTTCGACAATAAAACTTTATTTTGAAGGTTATGACCGGAAGCCGAGTTTTTCCCCTCTTCCTGTCTTCACTTTAAAGCTCACCGGTGAGAAACAAACAAGCTACTTCACAAACATTTGTTTATCTCTGAGCTAGCGTTGGTCAGCTGTACTATCGCGACACTTGTAGGAAAAGGAAACATCTATATGTTATATAGAAGTTATTTGCGGTATAGTTCACCCTCAGTTTCTGTAGCTATATTAATAAATGAATGTGACAGTGGCTAATAACGTTAGCTCGTTGGGCTGGTTTTGAAAAAGTCTCCACACAGCTCTGCACAGACTGCTCTCTAATGAAGAGCAGGTAACAACAAACAGGTTGGATACCGTTATTACACATCACCCCAATACTAGAGGTGAGTTATCTACAGCAGGTTAGTGTTAGTTATTAGAGTTTGGTTGTGTAGTTTGCTCTCCAAAGCTATTCTCTGGTCAGATCCTCCTGGTTTTGCTTGCTAAGAACAATGTGTTGTAAAACTACATGCACTGAGCTGCTGAATGACGTGGCATTTACCTGAGCCCTCACCACTGCAGCACACCCACCTGTAGGCAGTGTCACATGAGGTGCTCCTGTGTGTCCTATAAAAAGCCTCTGTCGCTGTTTTTGTGTGTTGCTTTTGTCACAGATGAGCAGTCAGGGCGACCACACTGCTCCAGTGAGGGTGCTGGTGACAGGAGGGTCCGGCTTGGTGGGCAGGGCCATACAGCATGTGGTCAGAGTGGAGGGGGGAGCCAAGGAGGGGGAAGAATGGATATTCCTCTCTTCCAAAGATGCCAACCTCATGTGAGACTTCTTGTACCAATGACTGATATTTCAACACGTGGTTTTATATGTCGACGGTTCTAACACTCGTTCTGTGTTATTGTGGCCTCTCTGCAGGAACATGGAGGAGACGCGGGCGGCGTTTGAAAAACATCGGCCAACCCACGTCATTCACCTGGCTGCTATGGTTGGGGGGCTTTTCAAGAACATGAAGTACAACCTGGACTTTTGGGTATGAGAAAGTTCCAGTTACTTCACACAAATTGTCACAGGTGTTTGAATGTTTGCGTGTGTGTTGAGAGTAGACTTTGTTGGGTAGTAGGATGTAATCTTTCTGTCGTTCTTTGTCTGTCTCCTCTAGAGAAACAATATCTACATCAACGACAACGTGCTGCAGGCAGCACATGCAGTTGGCGCAGTAAAGGTTGTTTCCTGCCTATCCACCTGCATCTTCCCTGATAAGACCACCTACCCTATCGATGAGACAATGGTAATGTGCGTGCTGTGAACTGGCATCATGTACCAGTACATTTTTAAATGGTGACTAACTTTACTTTACCCCTACAAGATCCATAACGGTCCACCTCATGAGTCGAACTTCGGCTACGCCTACGCAAAGAGGATGATTGATGTTCATAACAGGTGGGAACTCGCGTGTTCGGTAAATTCACGCTATCAAATGAGAATTGAAGAACTGTCTTTACAGCTGTGTGTATGTTTCACAGGGCGTATTTCCAGCAGCATGGGAAGTGCTATACAGCTGTGATTCCCACTAATGTGTTTGGTCCCCATGACAACTTCAGCATTGAGGACGGTCATGTGCTGCCAGGCCTCATACACAAAGCTTACATTGCTCAGAGTAAGTGGCATGCTCCCACATTAACTAGAAGGGATGCACAGCTCTCATTTTCCCTCTTGATAGAAGACCTGAACTCATATGACAGTCACCCTGACAGCATATGTCTGTATATATAGAACGCTGTTGTTACCATTTATTTAATTTAATAATTGTCACAGTATTTGCTATGGACTGGTTATGTAGGATTAGTAATAGTCATATTGGACCAGTGGGGTATAGTGGGGATACATGGAACCATATGAATCATTGACTCATTTGTGTGAATGATTAGAGGAGGAGAAGCCCCTGGTGGTCTGGGGCTCCGGCACTCCCAGAAGACAGTTCATTTACTCTTTGGACCTGGCTCGTCTCTTCCTGTGGGTCTTGAGAGAGTATCCAGAGGTCGACCCAATCATTCTCTCTGGTGAGTCTTCACACACAGCATACCAATAGTGAGCACTGAATTAAATTCATAGTAATGCCTGGCTTGTTTTTGCTGGTTCCAGTTGGAGAGGAAGACGAAGTGTCCATCAAAGAAGCAGCCGAAGCTGTTGTGCAAGCACTGGCCTTTAAAGGAGAAGTGGTGGTATCCTTTTAATCATGCTGAATTATTGGAGTCGGAACAGGTTGGTAACTGTAGTCCATGTTCTGCTGTTGTTCATTCAACATGAAGATTTGAATGGAGTTTGTAGCTGAAAGTATGAATGAATAGAACAAGCTTGTTTTCAATTTTGAACTTAAACCTGAAATTTAGATTTTAATGTGGACATTTTCCCAGAAAACCTGGAATATTTTGGAAAGTATTAAGTATCTGTAGAGTTCCATGTAGTTTCCTTGACCTTTGACCTCTAGTTTGATACCAGTAAATCAGACGGTCAGTTCAAAAAGACCGCCAGCAATGAAAAGCTGCGCCACTACCTGCCAGACTTCACCTTCACACCCTTCAAACAAGGTGGGTCTGACTCTCTGTGTATGTGCACGGCTGTTGAGATGCCATCAGGGCAGATATTTTAAATACTTGAAGAAAAAGAGAAATACTCTTTAACTGCTGCTGCGTGTCTTCGCTGATTATTCTCGCTCTCACTTACAGCTTTAAAAGAAACCTGCGATTGGTTTGTCGCCAACTATGACTCAGCCCGGAAGTGAAACCTCTGCCAAACAACCCGTTACGAGGTCTGTCCATCCATGGCCCGTTGCGCTGGAAGAAAGGGGGAACGGAGGAGATGGAGGAGGCGGGAGCAGAGAGGGCTGGAAGAAAACGAGGTGGTTCATCTGCACAGGCAGACAGCGGTTACTGGATGAAGTCTGTCAGTTGAATTCTGTCACTGTGCACTGTGAGCGGGACTGAACATCTCACATTGAATTCATCTGCAATACCATGTGCATTTCCCCTGTTCCTCTTTTACTGTAGTAAACAATCTATTGGAACTGTAGGCACGGTATTCTACCTATGTAGAATTTATTTCACTATGGTAGTGTTACTCATTTGAATTAATTGACTGCTTCAAGTCCAGTATACATCTTTTCTAGCAGTTCAACATTTAATCACTGAATTACCAGTTAGGGATTTGGATGTTTAAAGGCCCAGTGTGTAGGATTTAGTGGCCTCTAATGGTTTAGCTGCAGATTGCAACTCCCTCGCTCGGTGGACTCCAGCAGCGTTTGTAGATATAAAAGGCTCATTCTAAGATAGCAAAAACATAAGGATTACCATATTCAGGGGATTGTACACTGATGAAAACATAGTTATGCATATTATATTCCATTTCTGCCTAAATGTTACACACTGGACCTTTGAATGACCGGTCCTTGATTCACATTATTTAATGAACAGAACGGTTAAGGTACACGCTGTTAAGCTGGTGGCTTGTATGTTTTTTTACTTGGTGTATTGGCACTGAGCAAAATAAATGTTTTATACCTGTAATAAGTTTTAAGTGTCTTTTGCTTTTGTGAGAATTATTTACATTTTCATATTTTACAGGAAGATAAATACACAAACAACCTAAAGAGTGCAGCTTTCGAGACTGATGCTACTGCTTTGTTTGAATACATGTACAGACAGACACATAGGTAAAGAAATAATTTATTTTAACTTAAAAGTGAACAGTTAAAAACATAGGAGTAAAAGTAGATTTGAAAAATCTGCGAGTGTGGTGCTCATTTAGTAAACGTAACATTCAAGCAACGCAGGCAGAACTTACAATAACGACACAGTAACAGCTGATAACAGTTCAGAGAAGGCCCCCTATCAAAAGGAATGAAGACGAGTATTTCAGGAGTGAAAATAGGAGACATGCCCCCCTTCATGGACTCTGCAGTACTCCTGTCCAGGCACAGCTCTCTTCTTACAGGCCTTTCCTGTTTTTGTGATGCCATTGCACAGCTGACGGCCTGATAGGGAGCTGCCATGAGAAAGACGGAGAAATTATTCATTGAAAAGAATTAGCAAAAGCCAAACTATCTACTGTAGAAAAAGGCCTAAACATGATGTATTTAATGACCTGTGTGTGTTTTCATTTTTAGAGACCCTGACCTGTTGCTGACTAGCGACGGGGTAGGACTCGCGCTTCGCGAGTCGTTCACCAGATCACGCGAGTCGTTCACTGCGTCAAACACACCTCCCAGGTTCCTCGGGGGGATGTCATCAACCAGAGCCTTCAAATCACAAAATGTGCCTGTTAATAATTCACGAGATACTGGGATAGTTTCTTCAGTCACATTGACTCATTTTGCTCACCGATGACAGAAGTGGATGATGCACAAGCCTGGGAGTGGAGTGATTGGGTGTGCCGATAACCGGCATAAACCTGGACTCTGGCATCGGCTTCCTGTGAGGGGGAGACACTACTGATATGCCCAGGTCACCTGGTTACAAAGACGCAAGTGAGATCAAATGAGTAACAGAATCTCAAAGTATCACTTTTAAGGGAACCATTTGTCAAAGGTATATTATATACATTTCAAACCTGATATGAAGCTGTCCTGATTCAACGGGCCGTTTTGCTCCATGAAGCCGTCCTTTTCATCTCTGAGGACGAAAACAATAAAAACAGACTGCATCAAATTAACCAAATACTAAGAAATAAGAACTTATCTCCCTCATTGCGGCACAACTGTGGAAGTTTGTTTTGATTATAAAATTTGAACTAAGTAGTCTGCCCTTCTGCTTATATCTTTTCTAGATTGAATATCTTTGGTTTCAGACTGTTGGTTGGACAAAAAACA